CTAACTTTGCTAACCATTCCCTAATAGGGTCTTTTTGGACTTTAAAGTCATTCAGATGACTTTGCATTTCTTTTAGTTTTTGGTAGATGGACTGAGAGTGATCAGAAAGATTCATACAACACATGCCTTCAAATTCTTCACATCCATGCCCCTGAGCTAGCAATAGAAAATCTATAGCTGCTCTGTTCTGTAAAACAGCATGTTTTATTTCATCAAAGTCATGAGCCAATTCTCCTAGAATTTTCGAGGTTCTATTCATTTGATTCCTTGCCCAACAAACTGTTCTTTGGACAGAGGGGATCACAGTGTTGGACTCCTTAGGGGAGCTGCCCTTAGGGGGTGCCTTGTGCTCTTTGATCTTATCCCCGTGCTTTATCAAGTATTCCAAATTAGCAGTGGGTAATTTATCCATCAGTTCTCGAGGCATTCCTTTTGCAATACCTTCCATGCCTTCCACCCACAAACTGTATCTCTTTCTCCCACTAGATGACACATTTTGATGAAAAATACCTGGCAAGGCAGGTTTTTGGACCTTCCCTGCCCTCCTGCAGTGTTTTCTCCGGCCACTCGTACCAGAGAGCCCCAGTTGCTGATCAGTAGCTATTAATTCTTGGGCTATCTCCATCCAGGTTATCCCTGATGGAGCACCCCTTCTTCTAGGTCTGGGTGTTGCCTTTATGCGCTCCTGTAATTGTTTAGCATAAACTTTTAGTGCATCAGGCAGGCCTCGAATTAAGACCGGAAATCTCTGTGGATCAGCCTCGAGTTCCATTGGGGAATTTCATTGTGGGTCTAAAACTTTTGTGTGCATTAATTGGAGACATGCGGTTTTTTGTACACTTTTTACAATGTGGTCAATCATGGGTGTTTTAATCTTGTGTGGATCTCCCCTTTCTATAGGGTCTAACCCACCTGCCCAGTAGTCAGCTCTTTGGGTCAGGGACCATGGGGTTCGGTTATCATTTCTGATCAGGAAGACCCCTGGGCCCCAAAATCCTCTGGCCTCATCTTCACTCAACAAAATCTGATCCCCCCCTGTAAGGGACACCCTCCACACATATTCAGTCTCTGATTCACTGGCCTTACGGCTGTTATTTTTCTTGAATTTTGACCAGTGCTTCTCCCGTGTATGGACTAGTTCGTGTGGTAGTTTACTGATTTGCCCCCTGGCCAGTGGTTTCAGTTTTAATGAGGGGATGCATATGTATTACCTCGTCCTCTGGATAACTTTGCTTAAGCTCTTCCAATTCCCCAGAGGGGTACAGGGATTTGTTAACATCCACCAGCCTAGGGTATTTTAAATTGATATCTCGTGATTCACAATTTTCCATTTCTAGTACCTTTTTCAGCCTTTCCTTTTGTTCCTCCTCCTCTTGGCGGGTTGACCGAAGTAACAAGTTAATTTCCCTCTCCCCCCAAACTGCTTCACGCTCAGCAGTTAACTGCAAGTGTTCTTTTTCTAATTGCTCCTGTAATGCCTTCATTGACTCCTGAAGAGATCTTATCACCTCACCAGTAGATTTTTGAATAGCCAGTCTTTCCTTAGGCACTGTTCTAAGGACAACACCTAAAACAGCACCTACAAAAACCAGTCCTAAAGCAAGGACAAACATCAGGAGGGAATAATCCCCATATAACTCAACCTGAGGATGTCATTCCTTTTGCCTCAATCATTAACCCAGCTCGGGTTAATGTCTTTCTCCCCCTTAACCCTCTGAGGGTCGGCTTGACTCTCCCCTGGAAAACCTTTCAACAGTTTCAGGTACCAGAGAACCTTTCAACAGGTCCAGACCACACCAGGAAACTTTCAACAGGTCTGATGTGCCCGGGTCACACCGAGAGGAGAAAAATTCGTACTATAACTTTACAGCGAGGGGACAATCACCCTTTGACTCCCCCTCGGTGTCAGTTTTAGACTACACCGATTACTCCACCACATCCAAAGGATCCTGCTGACTACGTCAAAAATGTTACGACCCGCCCCAGAAAAAGGGAGGGGGGTAACCCAGGTTTTCATCAATAATTCCCTTGGGGTGGATTAGAGTGAAACGACACTGAATAATCGGTGTCTGAAAACATATACTGGCAAGGTTTATTTTAACAATTCTGTATCAACAGGCATGCTAGCAGTTTGGGTGTTGTCATATAACAATGTGACATAGAGATAACCTTTAGGGGGGGAGAAAATGCGCAGGGGACAATTTTGCATCAACAAGTATACTAGAATTTTGGGTGCTGTCATACAACAATGTGACACAGAGATAACCTTTGGGGGGGGGAAGAAAATGCATAAGGGACAGAAAGGCAGGATAAGAGCAAGGGAGAGTAAGGGAAAGAAAAGCTGAGAGTGGACAGATGTATATAGTCACCGCCCACGGGGTCCAGCGATGCTTCCATGTCTGTCAGTTAAAGTGGTGGCCTTGATCTGCTGGGGGTGAAGGAGGGAAGCCCCCACACTCCAAGAAGTTATGAGTTATTATATCCATGGTTAGTGTCATGAGTTATGCCTCGAGCCTTCGACATCTCCTGGGTCTGTGTTGAGTTTTTTGCGGCTCTCCTGGTTCCTGCCTTTCAAGATCAGCAGAGGGAGGGAGGGGTCCGATTGCTCATCAGAGGTACCATGCAAGTCAAAAGCCTGCAAAAGTCTCCTAGAATGCATAAATCATTAACCATTTCAGTCTCTGACAGAGGGGAAAAGAGATTTGATCCATTGTAAATGCTTATGTCGTGGTAGAGATAGCTAAGATTGTATATAATGTATTGTGGTGTTTATTTTGAACAGTCACTGTAAAATATAATCCCTTTCCCCCCATTCTGAGTCTTGTGTGGTGTCTGGAAAATCCATCTCACACTAGGCTGAGATGTGGGAGGGGGGCTTGGACTATGGAATTGGATTTTTGGGGCTCTCAAACCATGACAAAATAATATATAGAAATTAAGATATAAATATATGTTTTTATATCTTTATATATATATTTTGATATATAATATATAGCAATAATATATAAATAAATAGAATGCAAATAAAAACAAATAAATAAAGAAATCTTTAAATATATAAATAATAGATGGAAATTAATATATAAATATATATTTCTATATTTTTAAATATAACAGATGTTAATATATGATGTTGTGCAACCTCTCCAGCACAGTCCCCCTGCAGACACCGCCTGCAGCCAAGGCTCTTTGCTCCACTCCTTCAGCCGAGGAGATAAAACCGAGAAGAAATTCCCTTTGCAGTTCTGGGTTTCCCTCCCTGCTCTGCTCCCCCCCAGCTCTCCCACCTGGACCAAACTGGTGGTGAGGTCTCCATTCCAGCTGGGGAGCAACTCCAGCTCCTGGTGCAAAAGGGATCTGGCGATGGCTGTGGAGATGGGAACAGAGAATCATAGAATCATGGAATCATAGAATCATGAAATCATAGAAGCATAGAATCATGGAATCATAGAATCATGGAATCATAGAATCATGAAATCATAGAAGCATAGAATCATGGAGTCATGGAATCATGGAATCATAGAAGCATAGAATCATGGAATCGCAGAATCATGGAATCATAGAATCATGGAATCACGGAATGATAGAATCACAGAATCATAGAATCAT